CTGCCTTGGTCGCCCTGTACAATGACCTGTGCAGGGAGAAGGACAGGGGGAGTGTGTCCCTGTTGGTTCTCCTGGACCTCTCAGCGGCTTTCGATACCATCGACCATGGTATCCTTCTGGATCGGCTAGCGGGATTGGGGGTCGGAGGCACTCCTCTGCAGTGGTTCCGCTCCTATCTCAATGGCCGATTCCAGGAGGTGGTGCTGGGGGACTATGGCTCTGCACCATGGCAGCTATGCCATGGAGTACCGCAGGGGTCCATTGTGTCCCCTTTGCTGTTTAACATATACATGAAACCGCTGGGAGAGGTCATCAGGAGGTGTGGGCTGCGGAATCATCAGTACGCTGATGATACCCAGCTCTACTTCTCATTTTCCACCAATCCAGGTGAGGCAGTGGCTGTGCTGAACCGGTGCCTGGCCGGGGTAATGGGCTGGATGAGGCCAATAAACTGAAGCTCAGTCCAGACAAGATGGAGGTCCTGTTGGTTGGTGGATCAGGCTTCGGAGAGGGTGGATTTAACCTAGTCCTGAATGGGGTTGCACTCCCTCTTAGGGACAAGGTCCGCAGCTTGGGAGTGCTCCTCGACCCAGAGCTTTCATTGGAAGCTCAGGTGACAGCGGTGGCGAGGAGCGCTTTCCTTCAGCTTCGGCTGATTCATCAGTTACGCCCCTACCTGGAGTACGACTGCCTGGCAACAGTGACACACGCGCTGGTGACTTCCCGTCTGGACTTCTGTAACGTGCTTTACATGGGGCTACCCTTGAAGATGGTCCGGATACTTCAGTTGGTTCAAAATAGAGCTGCCAGGCTGCTGACGGGGACGGGACGTTATGTTCACATGACTCCAGTCCTCTGTCAGCTTCACTGGCTTCCCATTGAAGTCTGGGCCCAATTCAAGGTGTTGGTGATGACCTATAAAGCCCTAAACGGCTTGGGTCCTGGTTACCTGAAGGAGCACTTACATCCATATATGCCCGGCTGCCCCTTGAGATCTGCGGGAGAGGCCCTTCTCTGGGAACCCTCTGTGAAAGAAATTAGGAGAGTAGGTACTCGGAGGAGGGCTTTCTCTGCGGTGGCGCCCAATCTATGGAATGTGCTCCCCAGAGAAGTTAGCCTGGCGCCGTCGTTATTTGTTTTTCGGCACCAGGCGAAGACCTTTTTATTTAAGCGTCATTTTAATTGTTATCAGTATTTGTTTATTTATCTGGCCAGGGCAACTTCTTTTATATTGTTATTTATTTTATATTGTTATTTTTATATTGTTATTTTTGTATTTTATTTTATGTTGTGAGCCGCCCCGAGGCTTCGGCGAATGGGGTGGCATAGAAATGTTTTAATAAATAAATAAATATTTGCATATTGGGCCAGAATCTGTGTGGTACTGTGTTCTTTCTGCTTTCCTTTAAAAGCTTCTTAAAGGTATTAATTTTTATCATGTAGCAGTAAATGAAACATCATGGCTTTCATTGAGATTGATTCAATGAGCAATTTGTAGCCTTCTAGATACTGTTGGTCTACAACTCCCATCAACTCTAGCCTGCATAACCAATTGTCAAGACCAGTGAGAATTATGGAGATGACTACAAGTTGACCAGCCCTTATATACTATGATAATAATTTATTTTTCAGTTCACTGGATCAAATATTTCAATTTATTCATTTTAATTTATATCATTTAATCTTCAAGCAAGTTGAAGTAGCTTACAGTAAATCATTTAAATACTTAACATCAAACTTTAAACCAATGCACTGAAAAACAAATGGAAGCAAAGCAGAATACTCAAATAGAATGGTATCAACTAAATTTTTTAAAAGGGGTAATCTGTGAAAATGTGAATAAGTCTTATTTAAGCAATAACAGTGATACAAAATTCAGATTAGTGTGGTGTGATGGTTACAGTGTTGGACTTGGGAGATCCAGTTTCTACTTCCCACTCAGCCATGAAGCTCACTGAATGACTTTAAGCAAGTCACAGATTATCAGCCAAATCTCTATCACATGACTTTTTTGAGGATAAAATGGAGAAAGGGGGGTCATGTGAGCCACCCTGGGCTCCTTGCAAGAGGAAACAGACACAGATATAAAATGTAAATACTGTAATAATTTTTAAAAGGTCAGATTTATGAAGCTCTACCACTAGTGGCACATATTAATCAGTGACTCAAATGATTTCCTTTTATCCTCAACTTCTCATTCACCCACATGTTTCAGCATTGCATTGATACTTCTTCTCCTGATCCTAAGGCTGGAGTAGCAAATGCACAGCAGACCAGTTTGCACAATCAAAACAATCTATGGTAACTTAAACAATAACCCTGCAATAGTCCATGGGTTATCTGAGGGTTGTTTAATCCTCCAACAAGCCACACTACCTACAGTTGGATGATGCAATAAGCCACAGGCAGGCAGCATCTATATAGATTCAGCTTGACATGCACCACAGCTCACAACAAAGCTATCTTGGCTTGTTTAAGCCTTATTGACTTGTGCTCATGTCAACTGGGGGAGTGACTCCTTACATATTCCCTATTTCATGTACGGTGGCATGTGGCATGTGGCTAGCTACCATGAAACAAACTCTTGGATATGTGATTTCTTTAAGTTTTCTTTAGTCTATGCTTTTGTAAGTGATGGATCCAACTTTAGAATTCAATGATAAATAAACCTGTGAAATACTAACTTCTGCACATCTGTAAGATAATTTGTTATAAATTATCATTTTTCACATATCTTTTTTGACCATTTAAGGATTCCGAATAAGCACTGACTTGCATACCAATTTATTACATTTGTTCATTAGATGATTGTGCTGGTTGCAATTATGACATGTTAGATCCAATATGTGTTTAGAAGGATGTATTTCTGACTAGATGGATAACTGTTTTTTCATGCTAGTACAAATTTCCCTTTTGAAAGGATTTCATGGAATTTAGGAAGCAGAGTGTTGTAAGGTCTGTAAACAGCAAGTGTTAACTAACTGAACATGAGTGAAGCACTTCTGCAGCCTGCTCTGTTTATGTGGCTTAGGGAGTCTTTACCATTTTTACTTTATATGGCAAGTTATAAGTAGAATTTTTATGTTGTTTTTTAGTCTATTATGCAGATGGTACTTGATTAAAATCTATTTTAAACTATAGTGATTACTGCAAGATAGTGTGAATGAAACCACTCTCCTGCTCCCATTAAAGGCCTTGGAACTATGGCAGTTTATTTTAAATATGCTTATAGGCGTTTCTTAACTTCTCAAGGGACATTTAGATATCAACAATATGGCTTATTTGATAGCCTTAAATCCTCTAATACATATCCCTGTGATCTATTATTTGTGGAACATGGTTAATACACACATTTTTAAAGCGAAAGACTATTGCTTTCTTGTGATAAATAAGTTAAATACATCACTATAATTAAGCAATAAGGCCTGACAGGAGGTGGATTACCATGAGCTAAAAACACCTCTAGGGATTTTGAAGCACAAGTCTATGCTTAGCAGAGTAAGTATGAGGATTTTTTAATTATTTCCCATCTGTCTCTGTTTTGGTGGTTAGCAGCAAAGTCTGTGTAACTGCTAGATGGTGGTGAGAGCAAGGTAGAAGAACATAATCCACATTATTTTCAAGGTTATTAGTTGTGAAATTCTTTTTTAATTTCCATACTTGTAAAAAATGAACAGAATGTCCCCACTGAATACCTCCTGTTTAGTGAATGAACACCTCTGAGCCAATGGATCATTTAGGTTCCTTTAGAAATGTTCCATTTCTAGGTAACAGTCTTTGTTGCTTTAATCTTTTATGATTGTTGAAGTTACTCACTGAACTACACAGTGAGTTTTAACTGTTACGCAGATATATAAGAAGATATAAAGAACTCAGATATTTCCCTTGGTGCTATATTTCAGCTGTCCTGATCATATAGCGCTAGTACAATTGCACATAGGTAAAAGAAAGGGATGTGGCTTTGCTTTGGAAGCATGTCTTATCCACCAATGTTATGGGGGTGGGAAGAGGGGTAGAATCTGAGAGATGTGCATTCCTACTACTCAAGTAGGGAAGAATACATATTTAACAATGAACACTTTTAAAGCTTACTCAAAATGTAGGAAGTGAAGATAGTCTATGAAAGCACTCCAGCAATTTAGTATGGCATGAACATACTTAGATCTTCACAAAAGATATTTAAAATGCTGCAGCTATAGTTTAGCCACTCATCACAATACTTATGCTGTATGTGCTTGACAGTTAATGCCCATGAGACTTATGTGATCATCTTCTGCATAAATCACAATACATATATATGATTTAATATATTTATATTATTATTTTATGTCACATACAATGTAAAGAAACATGTACATGTACTGATTTCAGTACTTTTAGTATTGTTTTATTTTGGGCTGTGATATTTTTTCAACTAATTAAGCAAACTACTCTATTTAAGTCCTTGCATCTGTACCCAAGGTACCCTTGGTAAAGTGGGCACATTTTTAGAAGACAGACATGCTTTTCTTTCTCTTTGGCCTCTTGAATTAGTGTATGGAATTTTCCTTCCCCTCCCTCTGCTTGGCTGCCAAAATATAACACCTGAAGTGCTCCCTCAGCCATTGGCACTACTGCCAGTCTTCAACTCACCTCATATTGTAACGAGCTAAAATTAAAATTAGCTATCCAAGCACCAATACAGTTTTGAAGAAGTGATAAGGCTGCAGTGGAAGTAGGTCCTAACAAATACAATAATATTTGCCTCTGTTGCTCATTCATCTAAAGCACATATTCAATATCTCTTAATTCCCTGATATCTATAACTTTGTGATACTCCTACTACATTCCCAAATATCTCAGATGTCTGAGGTCCATGAAATTAGATGTGATTATAGTTACAGTGTTGCTTATCTTAAAGTAATTACACAAATCCTAATCTATATTGATCTAATTAATGTGTCTGAATCACTGGACTGGGGAAAAAATACATGGTCCAGTCCTGCGGTTCACTTCAGAATATAATTGGAAGAGAGGCTGCATGGTCAAGTCAAAATCTTGCAGCAAACAGAAAACTAGGCCACAATTGTTCTCCATCATGGAGCTGTTGATAGACCCAGAAGCAACTATTAAGTAATAAATCAATTTGTGACCATTTGTAAGGCTTAATACAGAGAGTTGTAATTTAAGTCAAGCTTTTTCTGAAGTTTCACTAGTTGTATGTAACGCTGGCTATAGTGTGGTTAGCAAGAGTTTAAAGAAACATCCCATAAATAATATTTTCTTGCATTCCATAAATAATCATTCTTGCATCCTCTCTGTGTCCCACTCAGCTCATGTGTATCTCTCCACTGTGAGAAGTTTAGAGAAAACATAACATTAAGCATCTCAATTAATTGTTCCAGGGTTTATATTTTGAATTGCTTTCCCCTGGTATCAGTATTGGAGCCATTTTATAGCAGCTTATTCTATTCTCATCTATGACAGCTCAATCTCTAGGAAAAAGCATCCAGAATGTTATGAAACTCTTTGATGCCATGCCATTAACAGTAACAGTTGAGGAAAATAAAAATATGGAAAGCTAAGCCACAATTTAGATTCAACAATGTAATGAAAGCAAAATGTAAATGTATAATGAAATTAGATTATATAACCTGGAATATCTAAAATGCATTTTATAGATGAAATCATTTAAGAGGAAAACAATTTGGATTATCAAAAGAATTATAATTAAAATACCATTTTAAGCTGTAAAATCCTAAATTCCTGTGGACTGAGAAATGGAGATTTAGTTTGTTCCACAATAATCATGGTATGTGTTTATTTGTAATATAGTTTATGCTTTGTGCAGGTCAATGGAGGAGAAAAAAGGCCTGCTTCTGATATGGGAAAGAAACCCAAAACACCCAAGAAGAAGAAGAAGAAGGACCCTAATGAACCACAGAAACCTGTTTCCGCCTATGCGTTATTTTTCCGAGACACTCAAGCAGCCATCAAGGGCCAAAATCCAAATGCTACATTTGGCGAAGTTTCTAAAATTGTAGCTTCTATGTGGGATGGCTTAGGAGAAGAACAAAAACAGGTACAATGATTGTCCATACATGTGTATGTAAACTGAAATCTATTGATTATGCTTTAGTGATATGTTCTTTATCTGCTACTTTTATTTTTAATCTTTGGCTGTTAGACAGGCTGGGTTCATACATAACAGTAAACCATGGTAGAAACCACTGTGGCATGCTCTGTTTTTTTGTATGAACCCAGTCAGAGCGGCAAAGAGTGATGAGGATGGTAAGCATGGAAAGAAGTTTCTACACTTCACCATAGCTTGTTTGATTGTGTGAACGCAGTAAAGTATTTTAGCTTGGTTTTCACAAAGCTGCCATGGAGTCCTGAGGAAAGAGGATCTCCATCTGTGCTCCTGTTGGTTGCTCCACATGCCCTTTTGCCTCTGCCTTTTTCTGCCTTATGAACGCCCATATGCAGTTTTGAAATATCCCCAACAATGGAGAAATGCTTCACACCATCTCCAACAGCAGTGACCTTGCAGATAACTGTGTTTGGCACCCCTGCCTAGTCACTGCAGTTTACACAAACACCACTCATGAGTTGTTGTACCATTGTTTTACTGGTAGATGCATTGCTTCCTTCTTGGCAAGGTTGTCCCTACACAAGAGGAGCATATGGGTTGCATGCATGGCTTTGCCAACAAGCCTCCCAAAAGTTCCTTGTTCTGACGTCTGCCCTTTTCCCAGCCCCTATCTTGTCCTGGCATTGCATGGAACTGTCACAAGTTGTAGTATTTCTTGGGACAGACCCACCCCCACCCTCTTGCATTGGATGGTTTAGCCTTATGTGTGAATGCAGCCAGAGTCTAGGTGGCATAGAATTATTCACAGTCCCTGCTATTCTGAATTCAGTGACAGAGCTGTGACATGTCCTTGCAGCCAGCACAGAAAGCACTGTGCCAACTGCAACTCCAAAGTCACAGAAGTGACTCTGAAATAAAATGTTGTGGGCAGGGAGGGAAGGAAACAGTCCTGTAGGCCTCTTCTGCTCTTCTCCTTGTGCTCTGGGGCAAACACTTAGCTGCAGTTTTCTAACCTGCAGGGTGATGGGCAGCCTTATTGGATGTGCTGTTAAAAACTTTAATTCATTGCCAAGACTAGCATTATGCACATCAGACTGTTACTGAGTGCCTCAAGTAACACTGGTCTAGTTATGCATATGTGTCCAAATAATAAATGTCAAGGAACTTTAGCCAAAAATTATAGTACATCAAGGCACCAATTGTGAAATTCACATGGGTAACCATAAAATAACAAACAAAAATTTAAAATAACTAAGTGCATAGTTTACTGCCAAAGTAGAGAAATTCACTTATGACCAGCAGCTATAAGTTTAACTCTGCAGAGGGGATGGAGAGGAAAGGAAAGGACTGAGATAAGGCAGAGCTACTTGCAGGCAATTTGAAATTATACTTCCAAGGCAGTAGTGGAAGAAGAGTGCAGGTTGCCTCATGGTCTTGTGAGGTGCTATTTTCACTTTCTGAATATATTAGGCAGCCTAGCTCTCCAGAACACCCTACTGCAAAGACAGTTTATAGAAGACTGAGGACAGGCTGAGCTTTCTGGTCTCCATGAGCCCTGCATGGCACAGAGTCACAACAAAATAAAAACACAACGCTTTCTGAATTCTCCAAGTTCTTACTAACAGTAGACTGTGGTGGGCAAAAGGCTTTTCTTCTGGAAAAGGGACAATCTCTTCATAAAAAGATTCAAGATGAACAAGAAGTGGGTGGATGGTCTAGTCATGAAGACTATTACTTCTAGTATCAGAAGCAATATTCAAGTTGACCTTTAGTGTGTAAAGAGTCTCTAAGGCAAGTTCTATTGGATTGGATGGTGTTTTTCTTTCTCTTATTTTTCTATTTTTAATTTCACTTTGAATCTATTTGCTTTTATTATTGTTCGATGATGATGCCTTGGTTTTATTCCTGTCAAACACCTTGAGTACCATTTCCTTTACGCAAAGGTGGAGTATAAGTCAAATAAATAAATAACATATACCAGTGGCTGGTGAATAGGAGCAGGAATGGGGCGCTACTGCACTCATTATCTCACTTTTGGGCATCCCATAGCCATCTGGTTTGCCACTGTGAGACCAGAACCCTAAGCTAAATGAGCCTTTGGTGTGGTGCAGCACAATCCTCTGTATATTAGGCCTACACACTCTGTTGAAAATGACCATGTGACCATGCTGAAGAAAGAAATTCCCTTCTCGATGGTTGTCCATTTTCTCTGCTTTTTGAAAGCATCATCTATGATCCCTTTGAGTTAGCATCAGCAATCAATCAAAGGATGACTGCTAGCTGCTAGCTGCTTTTGTAAAGATTCTCCCTGGCTTCAGCAGAATGTTACCTATTACAATATTACTAATTACAGTATTTTTGTTGCACTTAAATGAGCAAAAAGCTAGCTCAATTTTAGCTTCCATTGATCCAGTCCACATGAACAAAACAATCCATCATTTATTTAAGCCATGCTGGCTTATTTAAATTGTGATACCTGCCAGGTCATAATAACCATATTTGATACCAGGGCACATGGTATGTTGGAAGGATAAATAACTCTCCAATAACCATACAACAGTCCATGGGTTATTCGAAGGCTCTCCTTTTCATTTGTTTTTGTTCATTTCTTTTAATAGACACATTCAATATTTACCAAAAGGTACAGTTGTCTACATGTATTTGACAACAGTCATGTCTTAACATAATCAAAGAGGTGCCTGTGACTTCTCTCATACAGCCATGCTTTAAACAGAATTGTTATTGTTTAAAGTTCTCTGTAAAGTGGTAGGGAAATACAATTCCTTCATTAAAAATATAAACCACTGGAATGATTTCTGGATTCTGTGCAACAATTGTGAAATTTTTACAACATAAAAATAGAGCCCAAACTGACTTGGGTTAACAGCTTCTTTTTATAATATTACCTTTCTGTGGCAAGTATTTTTTTTATTCTTTGTGTAATAAAGTTTTGAGTTTCTATTTTTTTAAGTAGATCCCAGAAATGCTATATTCCTTATTGTTTGATTTCACCAATCTCATTTATACACAAAACTACTGCTTGTCTCTGCACTCACTTGAAAGAAGCCTGACAATGATTGTTAGAGACAATCAGATGGCATGTAAAGAAGTGCCAAATGTTATTTTATATATTTCTATACACGTTACAGCAATAAATTGCTTCCTGGCCACAGCTTTTCTCTTTTTACAGTTCCATTATTGCATCATTATATACACAGTCTGATTTTAATAGTTTCCTTTCTATGTTCTAGGTTTTATGTCAACATACTTGAGCAATATATGATTAACCATCATTTTACTTTGGGGATGGCAAAATGTATAGATGCAGCCACTTCAACATTAATGCGAGGTGTAGTGAGTTAAATTACCAGACAGAATAATAATGTGCATGTTGGTTGCAGGGCTGTAATTTCAAACCAAAACATGTAATACAGTTTGTGTGTTTAACTTGAGTTTAACTGTGCTACTCGAGAAGCAGAAAAACAAAGCATGGAACTTGATCTTAGGGCAATGTGACATGGCTCTCATAATCTATCCCCACCCCCCCAGTTGGGACTTTTTTGATATGGACAGCTGCCTTTTGTTGGGTTTCTGGGAAGTATATTCAGTTTTAAGCTCCGACTGCAGGGTAGGAAGCCTGTGGACATCTCAATGCTTTGGTCTACAACAGGGGTCTCAAACTCAACTTACCTGGGGGCCGCTGGAAGTAAAGTCTGGGTGAGGCTGGGCCGCATCAAGTATTCCACCACCGCGGTGGTGGTGGGCCACTCATCCCGCGGCCGGTCCGGGCGCCGCCGGTGCTTTGAAGGCTGCAGGGCCCCTCCCCTGTGCCCCGCCTGTCCCGGCAATTGGCCTGTGGGCCGCGAGTTTGAGACCCCTGGTCTACAACTTCCGTAATCCCTCACCCCTGACTAGGCTGTCCAGGGTTGTAGGCCAAAACCTTATCTAATTGGCAGTAATTGGAGTCTGATGTTTATCTGCTTTGCAGCTCCTGAAAGAGCTAATTTGGGAGTCAGTTTGCTCCTCTCTTGACCTGGGTGAATAAATAGGGAATTTCAGCTTCTGTAAATAGGTTGTTGGACACTTAGGCTGTCTTTGCAAATAAATTTCGGTTATTGGGAGAGAGCCTTAAGCTTGACTCTATAGAGTCACTGTTAGGTGTAAGAGGTTCCTGACAGTATGAATTAGCTATGTAGCAGTATCCCTTTAAAATGTAGCTTTAACAGTATTTCACTCATCATTCAGAAATATATTTCATAAGATATTATTTCAGTCCCTTCTGCCCTTGTCTGTGGTTTTTTTCCCCCATTTTTTCTAAGGCCTGAAATGGAAGAAATACACTGTGGATGAAAGGACAAAATCAGAGTATATCTTAAATAAGCAGGGTTGCTTATTCCAGATTTTCCACAACAGTTCCCTTTTTACACTTTAACCTCTGGGATCCCTCCTACAAAGTTCTCTCAGACCCAGAGTGCATATTACATTAATCACACAGCATATAGTTGAGGGCTGGCTTTTCTTTATTCTATGGAAAGCCACATAGTTCTTACTTGGATTGGGACCACCATGCAACAAAAGGGCTGGATCAAACCTCCCCACCCCCCATATTTGGTTTCCTGCTAGCTCACCCACATGAGGCAGGAAGTTAACAAAGAAGGAAGCTTCCACTGATACCAGTACAGACTATTCTTTCCTTCTATTAACTGCTCCCAGGGGGTGGTTTCAGAAGCAAATGGGGAAAAGCTTTAATCGTCTCCTTCCAGGGCACAAGTGACCCGTTCTAAGTTAGAGCCATGAGTGTATACATGGGCATGTGCCCATCTACTCACAGACTTGGACAAGATCAAAGAAAAGCCTCAATCTCAGCAATGCTCTACTCAGCATAACATTTAGTTTGCTTGTTAAAGTGATCCATTTGTCTGAACCACTGTCAATTCATCCCACTTCAGCAACTAGGTGTAGAAGACACTGCTTCACTTTTTCCACTCTTG